TCCAATTTTTTGCTTTTTGAAAAGTACTTCAGAAGAGGAATCCAGTTTTTGGTTTTTTCGATGAACTTCATAATGGCACTGTAAGCTGTTCTTCCATCTGAACGCTCTGCCACATTTCGAACAGAAGAAAGGCAATTCTTTGGAGTGCGTTCGGCGATGATTATACAGGGTCGAACGCCGGGTGAAGCGCAGCAGGCAGACGTTACACTGAAACGGTGTGGTGCCGGTGTGCGAATTTTCATGCTCCTAAAATGAATGTTAGCAAATGTGCCAAGTGACTGATTTTTGGCATACTCGTAGTTCAGAAGGACTGTAAAATACACGATCACAGTGTTTGCACACACGCGGTATGCCTCGTCGTCCAGGATGTCGTACAGCAAAAGAAAGAACTGCGTTTTGCTTAAATGAATCAACATTCAGCCATCAGTTCTGAAGCTTAGAAATCAGAAAGAAACAACCATTTGGCAGCCATCGGCAATTTCATGCTGTTCATCCATATTTCCAAAATAACACACGTTGTTGCAGATAATATGGAAATCGTTTGATATTTCTGGTCGTGGTTTATTTGTCTGGGTGTGGCAGCGGCAAGTTACACTCAAGGTGCTGATTCTCGCTGACAAATCCAAATTACTGTCTGCAGTTGCAGCTCCGATACGGAAGTGATCAATAATCTGAAAAGATATAAAGCAGTTAGGTGAAGACAACGACGGTTTGAAAAGTATTATAAACAGAGATAGGCATTGAACAAAACAAATGCGGCATATAAAAACCCACAGCATTCTAACCATTACTTCAATACCTTATCCTATGCTTCAAAATTTGCTTCATCAATACCACGAGATACATTTTTCATAATGCTCTAAGAGTGTGCACAGATAATCAACTGCTCAGTGGTGAAGTCAAGCTGGCTTTTTCCATTCAGTATCTTTTAAAGCGAATATTCAAAATATTTCATTTTGCATTTAAAGCCGAAATCTCGTACCGCCAACTTTTTGATTTCAATTTCCTAATGTAGATATCTTCCGTCCTAAGCATATCTGAGGAAATTAGCGTCTGAAGAACCGACGCTTAGCGGCAATGCAAGAGTACTATTAGAGGCCATTTTTTCAATAAAGCGGATCGCTTTATCCTCGCCAAAAGACTGCCTTTGATCATTTCGACTTATCTCTGAGGATTGAAGTTGTCGAGCTCAAACTTGGTCATGTTATAGTGGTCTCACCGCCGCCTGTCTGCTACTGTTTAATTGTTATAGCTAGCCTCCATATCTGGAGATTGTTCCTCTATCCGCAATCAGAAGAAGTGTCAGATGGCTGGCAGATAGACATAAAGGAAATAAATAACTAGAGAAAAAATTGATCATACAAGGGAAACTTATGATTACCACGGGGGTACGATACTTTGCGACTTTTACACCTGTATTCACTTTTGCTACATTTCACTTGAAAGCGACGCTACAAAATAAAGTCAGAAAATCAGACCTCTCCCTAAAACCGCATGATATCAACAGCACGAAAATTATTTATAGTCGAAAGAGTAACTGGAAAGGTCAATGTTTCTTAAGCTTTCTTACTCCCATAAGGTCTCAACAAATTCATTAGTTTCTTGAAGCCAAACAAAAACGCGTTCTTATTTTAGAGCTTCATTCTTCTCAGCATGCAATATTACGTCTTCTTGTCCTCAATGGAATCAAGACGTTGATACAATTAATTAGCTTATCTTCTACTACAGCAGGGTCGTTTTTAGGCAGTGAAAATTCAGCGACATTGGTGTGAGGGGAAAAAGGACGATACGTAGAATTTAAATTACAAACCGCTACAGAATGAAAAAGGTACTGTATTAGGAATGGATAGGCGTGGACCAAAGAACAGAAAGAGAGTCTAATAATCATGATAGTGCCGTGCAGATGTTGCTGTCCTCAAGCTGAAAAGAAATGAAATCTCTGCTTCATACCATTTAGTTAAGAAGATATCACTTTGTTCTTTTGCCGGCATTTTCTCTTCAACATCTGTCGGTGATTAGAGTCAACTGTATCCGCGTTTATTGGTCTTTGGTCAAATCTCATGCTCATTTTTGTTCGAGTTCTTTTTTCTTCTCTTTTTCAGCATTATCAGTACCTTGATCACCTTTCCAATGTACTC